AAGGCCAAAAGAACCTGACCTGCCACCAACCATATCAACCAGCCCTTGTTCCCCACTCATGGTCTAAAGCATAAGTCCAAATTAGCCAATCAATCTCCCCCTTTTTGTTCCCCTACCTACTGGCCAAAATAACCCCACAAAACCAGCCCACATCTCTGAATTCATCCCACCATAAGGACATGAATAAATGGCTATTATTCTTAACATGTGGAAGAGGAAGTTGCTTGGTAGTTTCTTTGTAGTTACATTCAATGTATTATGTGATCCCCCCCTTCCTCTTTATAAATTTGGCCATATGGCCTTTGTAAAAGACATCTTTGGAATATAAAACTTTGTTACTCTTTGAGTATTCTTAAAATAGTGTGATGCTATTTTAGCCAAATTCCTAATTCTATATCTTAAGAGTGGTTTTCTTGAGTGTGAGTTTTAGGTTCTAGTTATTTGGTTGAGTGTGTAATATCTTGATTAAATACTAGAGTTTAACCCCAAATTAATCTAGAGCTGAGCTTATCCTTTAGTATTAATTTGGCTCCAAATTAAGATAAGAGTGTGTTTATCTCTTATTTCTTATTTGGAATTTATCCCATCCTTTCTAAACCCATCCTTCATCCCTGATTTTCCACTCTTCTTCATAATATTAAAACACAAAAAGAACTCCTTCACATTCCCATATTTTCATCTTGCCAATTTTCCTTCATTATTCCACAATTCCATCTCCAAAAATAACAACTTGATAAGACCCCCGGTTCACCCCTAACATTTGGTATCAGAGCTCAACTTCGACGACTTTCTCAAGTCTCGACGATTACCACGAGGACCAGCTTCACCTACGTTGCACAAAAACAAGGCTGGTGAAAATTGCTCCTGAAAATTTCAGCCCCAAAGAAGTGGCCACGGAGGAAGGTGCAAAACTAATTTCAACGTGAAACTTTCTAGTTTGGAAGTTTATCTTTTTATCTACATTTGGCCGCTGATTCCACTCAATTCCGAGTTACGGTTTGTGAGATACGTCCATCCGAAGTTAAGCCCGCAGTTCTGCCAACTGCTTGGCGACCTTGCAACTTTGGCAAAAAAAAACCCAAAACCCACCACCACCACCTTGTTTACTTCAGTCAACCCCACACCAAACCACCCAAAAAACCAATCCAACCAACCAGCCCCAAAAAAATCACCTCCTTTCTCTTTTGTTCAGCCAAACCACCCAACAATCTCTCCCCAATAAACCATCTCCCTTCCTTCATTCCTTGCTGCCCAAAAACCAGCCCCTACAACACCTCTTTTCTCTTTTGATCATTTAAGCCATAGCCACTGCCCTCCCTTATTCCTAACCTTTCAAAGCCACCAAGACATGTCTCACACCATCCAATGCATGTCCCATGAAGATCTAGCTGCTGATCAAAAGAAACTAAAAAAGGAGCTTGATCTTTTGATGGAGAAGATTGGAGAGTTCACAAATTCAGTGGATATCCCCATGTTTGAAGGAAGAAACGATCCGGAGAAGTTCTTATGGTGGTTAAAGAAGGTCGAGAATATCTTAACATTCAAAGATGTGCCCGAAGGTAAGATGGTCAAGCTAGTGGCATCTCGGTTCCAAAGACATGCCTCCACTTGGTGGACTAGTGTCACCATTAAGAGAAAGCTTGAAGGAAAAGTCAAGGTACAAACTTGGGAGAAGATGAGAATGCTCTTGATCAAGAGGTTCTTGCCCGGAGATTTCCAACAAATGGTACCCAAAAACACCTTCAAAACATTTCCTACAACCATGCCATTTTCTCCACAAGAACCAGTGCATGTATTCCTCCCAAAAACCCCAGCACCAAACCCCTTACAAGCTGCCACAACAATTTCCATTCCTTCCCCTACACCTACACTTGAAACACCATCAAAAACCACCTCCTTTTCTTCCTTATCTACTGCCCAAACTAATCCTCAAACCCATTCAATACCCCTGCCCCAAAACCCCTCTAAAACCATGTCTTTAACACCAAAACTTACTGCCCAAAACACTGCACAAGCTACCTTCATTCCCACAGTCCAATACCCTTATAAAACCATCACCTTGCACCCTCTTAATACTTCCCAAAACATTCAAAAAGCCACTGCCATGTCCA